CAGCATGCCCACTTCTTCCCACATCTTAGTCTCATCCGCGAATCTGAACAAGGTGCTTTTCACCCCCTCGTCCAAGTCGCTGACGAAGTTGTTGAACAGTGTGGGCCCGAGGACAGAGCGCTGGGGAACCCCACTGCCCACATCCCCCCCAGGTCAAAAAAGACCCGTCCGCCACCACTCTCTGGGTGCGGCCCTCCAGCCAATTTGACTATGTAGGCATCAATGCCACAGTCACCTAATTTAATTTTGAACCCTGGTCTACATTAAGACCAGGGTTCAAAATGTGTCAGTCACATTTAAAAATCTGTAAGAAAAAAATGCCTGGCAGCTTTAGGTCAATACAGAGAAATTACGGTAAATCAAAGGTTCAATGCTGATCAGGACACAGAATGAACATCAGGCCAAGGGTTGAACAAGTAACTGATACTTTGGTTCAGTTTCAGTTCAGGAAGCCCTTATCAGGACATGGTCGTAAGCTGACCTTACCTTGTAAAATATTTGCAATTTTATTAACAAATAATGGAACTTTCTAGTAAGAACTAGTTTTTAAGGGCATGCACTCTGTTACCTTCATACAGACAATCTCTATGTGCATGTATTGCTAAGAGGGTTGTGTTCTTAGATAATCCTCTTAGCAACACATGCACGTAGAGATTGTCTGTCTGAAGGTAACAAAATACTTACCCATAAAATTATTGCAGGAATTTTTTCATCATTGTTAAATGAGAGAAAGAAAGGAAGTTTTAACTATACTAAAAATTAGAGCCTATTACTTAATGCAGTTTTAAGTAATGTTTATGGTTATTACTATTCATAGGAAAGGCTTCCTATGCTGATTCTAGTTACATGGTTCTCCTGAGAACCCAATACATCCCATGAAAGTTTAAATCTCTTATTGGACACAGATTCACTATTTAATCTCCCCAGGTTTTATGAAGTGTGGGACAAAAAGGAGGTTATCTATAAAAAGGACAGATTGAGGTGAGGTTCTGGGGAAAATTGGTGTTGGTTTCCAGCAAAGTATGCTCAATTTGTTGATGTAGTATTGAATTGATGTAGTATGAATTTGGCTCAGTCTGCACTATAGATCTGCTCCTCCTGTAATTACGGCAGTAGTGCTATGGAGGTCAGGTCTCATGGTGAAGGAATAATGTAGTGTAGACCAGGGTTCAGAATTGATCTACTAGCTATGTCACGACCAGAACAAAACAACACATACATTTATTTTAGTATAAATATATAACAGTATTATAAGCCAATGCAGATTCATCCATGGTATTTTTATACGCATACTAGTGAATAGTAGAGATGAAATCAACTTTCTGAATGGGTCTGAGGCCCAGTTTCCTTTAGGCCAATCTATTGACATCAATGAGAGGTGATATGTGCCCTTGCTGTGTGCTTCTGCAAAGGGGTGAGGATTCTCAGCATGGTACTGAAGTACCTAGCATCGTGCAGAATCAGGCTCAGTTGTGTAAGTCCTCCAGTCCCAACAACTTTAAGTGTTGATAAGTCATGAGTCAGGTTCCCCAAAATAATGAGTTTGGCTTTAAAAAAAAAAAATGAGATTGAAAAATAAGAATAGTTATGATTTGGGGGTTCTTTTCAGTTATCTAATAGATTCTGGTTTAATTATAGGATTTTAAAAGCTATGCCTTTAGGAAAAGCACTAGTTCTCCAAAGACTTGTGATAAAAATCACAAAAATTAGCAACCCTGAATCTCTTATGAAATGTCACCTTCAAGACCAGACATTTCATTTGTAAAAATGAAACAAGTATGTTAAAAAAAACTTACAGAGCTATAACCTGCCATATATCAATTTGCAATACTGTGAGATCAAAAGCAAACACACTTAATGGCTAAACTAAGAATTTCCTCTTTGGAATGCAAAGCATATAAGCTAGAAGCAGAAGCAATAGGGATGCTAGGTTATACAAATGAACAGAAAAGAATAAAGCAGTCTACTTTACAATTATGAAAGTATTTCTTTTGAGGTAATTATTGGCATTTATAAATAATGTAGCACATGCAAAGTTTCTTTTTTTTATTGTGCAGTAAATACACACAAGAAAAAGTTAAGGGAGTACATACAACTTAAACACGAGAGTTTCATTCTCTTTGAAAGTGACTTCTATCATTTTTACAGGTTTAAAATATATTTAAAAATGAATGGAGTGAAACAAAGTGGATACATAATTTTCAGTTTTGTAGTGTTCAACACCAGCTTGACATCCTGGTGCGTTTATTTAAAAGACACACTTTTTTAAAATTCACCATTTATAATACATCAGAAAGGTTCTTCTTCATGAATGTAAGTGAGATAAGCCTTTGGGTTTATCTGGCAGCGGTAGTATATGGGGTCCATGTAAAACCAGTTAAGCTGGATAATCCGTCAATACAATTGAAATATTTTTATGCAAGTTTATTGAAGAATGAGGTTATCTCATGCCAACTAAACAATAAATCTTTTTTACATAATCAGAATTGTGATTGCAGAGGAATCCACATGACAAGACGGATTTTAACAAACCACACTTGGAATGTCTATTTGCTATCACATTAAATTATTTACGGATCTAATGCACAGTATCTACTTCATGTACATACTGTGACTTACGAGCTGTGATTTCAGCTTGATGTGGTGCCTTAGGAATTTGAGTTATTAATATTTGAATCCTAGATTGCATCAAACGTTTCTCATCCAATTCAACTACTTTTAAGGATTTGGGTGCTGTACTGGTTATTTTCAAAAGCCCAGGAGAAACTAGTGAGAACATTTTACTGACCAAAAGTCACAGGAAAAAGTTCCATATATGGACTCAAAGAGAGTGCAAAGGGCACATATTATATACAAATAACAACAAATAAAAAGTGCACAAGCAAACCAAAAGAAAAGAAATCAACCACCAATAATTTGAGCATACTATTATAATGGAGCACCATCAGAATCAGCTTTTAGAGTCATTTAAAACCCAAACTGAAACAAAACAAAAGCAAAAAAGGTAGATACACAAAAGAGGTACAAAGGAACAAGAAGAGTAACAAGTTTTTGCAGAATGATAAAATTAGAAACATGCATAGAAATGAGGATTTGTGTTGTGACAGTTACATGGCAGTCTGAGGCCTAATTTACCTTCGCTGTCTGACATGGCATGCTGGAAATCATCCATGATGAATGCTATATCCCGATCATAGCCTCGAGTCCGTGACTCTTCCCTCATATGTTGCTGGACCTCAGGTAGTGAATGGCTTGATCCAAATTGGTCTCTGGTATCTGCAGATATTGGTGGCAAGGGGCCAGCGGCAGCTCTAGCCATTCCCATTGGCTGACCAACAGGACTTAATGGGCTCTCTTCCTCCGAGTTCTGGGCTACTATTGGGATTCTTCCCCTGCTTTGGCTAATGGGCAGACTAGTTGGTTTTGTTCTTCCAGAAGGTGCTGCATGACTAAAGGAAACATCTAGTGGCTCAGCCTCTTGGGCTTTCAATCTTAAAGAGGAGCTTGAGGAATCTCTTTTTAAGGATAAATCAAGTCCATAGACTGAGGAGGGTCTGGATGATGGCCTTGATCTACTGCCACTACTATACGACTTATCTGCTTCATCCTGTAATGTGGATCTCATCGGTGGACCTAGCGCAGACCCAAGGCTTGCTCCAATGGATGATGTCAGCGATGGCCCCAAAAATTTCTGTTGATCCGTGATATTTTTTCGGAGGCCAAAGGTGATATCATCCTGAAGAAGCCTTGCTCTGGAGGTTATTCCCCCAAGTGATGAAGTACTGGAAGTCATATAGCTTGAATAATCAGGCTCAAGATCCCGGCTCTCTTGAATAGGTGAAAACTTTGATAATTTGGGGTCTATCAAAGCTTTCTTATGCTTCGATTGTTTCTGGTAGAGGAGGGCTGCTGGGAGCTGCTTGGCAGCCTGTTTCTCAAGGGTAAGCCTGCTTATGCTGTATTTCTCCGATTTGGGGAAGTGCCTGTAACTGGTGTCTGCATGGTAATACTGGGAAAGGCCAGCAAGGTGATCAAGACTTTCTGCACCTCTGCGGAACTCCTGCTTGATCTGATGCTTTAAAAGCTTCAGCTCATAAGGGTCTTCCATGGGGTCTTCATCAGCTTTAACGTAAGTGTGCAGTCTTGAAGAAGTCTGCAACGGTGCAAGGAAGTCTGTCACTTCCTGCGCCCTCCTGGCTTCAGTGGTTCGAAGGAGTCGATCTGTTTTTGTAAGATCTTTCTCGTGGAGGCTAAAGGCAGAGCTGAGCGTTCCTGTGCCCTTTGTAAGTTCCCCGATATCATCAATCAACACATAATTTCGTGGAGTGTGGTGATGATCTATGTCTGCGTAGAATGACTCTGCAGATATACTCGATATAGGGCTGCTAGCCATACTACTTCTCTCATCCAGCCCTATCCTTAAGTCCAAAGTATTGTATTTGCTGCCCAGCTGGGAAACTGCGTAAGTATTGTCAGTTGAAACAGGAGCTATCATGAGAGGCTGATTGCGAATCACATCATAGTTTGTGGTTATCTTAGGTTCCAAATATAAAGCAGCTTGCCTTGGCTTTTGTGGTATCACCATCATTTGTGAAGGCAGCTGGTAGGATGCCTGTTGGGTTGGTGGAGGCTGAGCTTGGGGAGTAAAAGATAGAGTAGCTCCTGCCTGGAAAGCTGGCTGGGTCTGATAGGGTGAAACCTGCTGATGATATAACGGCTGCTGCTGCTGGTAATGTGACTGTTGTGTATACTGTGTTGGTGCTTGAGTAGGCAGGGCAGGAGAAGAGTACTGGTACTGTGTATAAGGGCTTGTAGCAGGAGCAAACTGAGTTTCTGGCTGGGTCTGAGGTGGCATAAATTGATTAAATTCTGTCTGTGGTGCTGTTCGTGGTCTTTCCAAGCCATGCTGAGTTTCTATTCTGGTAGATCTGGTATTATTAACTTCGCTGTCTGACATGTAGTCCCGTTCTTCTGCTACCCCTTGGAGATAGGCACGCTCTCTCTTTTCTCTTTCCTTTAACAAGGCTTCTTTTCTCCTATTTATACCCATTTCCAGGTATCTCAGTTTGGCATCTATTTCTTTTTCTTCCTCATCTAGCTCTGCTTGCTTCTTTCTAAGCTTGGCTGATTCCCGTTCTACCAGATCCAACTCCCTGTCTATATCCTGGAGAATTTTGGCTCTGGCCATTGTGGTGGTCCTACAAATCCTTCTACGGGAAACTGAACCCACAGTACTGTATGCTGACTGGGTCCCTGTTGTTGCATCTTCTGGAGGTGGGTTGGGCAGAGTCCTCTTTACCTTCTTCTGGGTGCCTGATGGTGTTATAGTTGAAGGGCCTTGAGTCTGCAATAGGAGAAACAAAACCAAATCAGTATTCGGCACGTAAAATGTAATACATTGCAAGCTGGCAACAGCATTTTTTAGTATGATTTCACATCTTAAACAGCACTACACCTCCTGCAGAGGAGGCTGTGACAGCTGAAAATAAGCAACAGCAAATGGAATGAAATGGTATAAATGAGCATCTCTTTATGAGGAAAAGATACTTATGAGATTCAAAATAGAGACAGGCACTGAAAACCTTCCAATATAGTGCACTAGGACTTTATTTCCTTTTAAAATCTAAGAGTCTGAATTTTACTTTATGTCAGGAATACAACTGCGATTGTGTTTTAAAATGTTTCTTTTCTTATTTTTGTATAGCTACTCTCATGTACCCACACACATTCCTCTCAATATATGTTATCGTAATGTTTTCAGACCAGATCCTGAGTGCATGGTGAGCATACACAACTTGTACTTAGTGGCTGAAATACCCTATTGCTTAGTGAAGAACTGGAAGATCTGTACAATAGATGATTCTCTCTCTCTCTCTGTTTCATCATTGTCTGCTGTCTCTGCTTTATCCTCACAGTCATGAAAATGCCTTGTAGTTTAGAGTTCTTTGCTGCACAAAAAAATTGAAGTCCCCTTCTTGGATCCTTCAGAACTTGCTCTCTTGTACATCCCCATGTGTTCAGGTGAGATCCTAAGCAGATACTGAGCATACGTACAACTTGTACTGCAGTTCATCAGCTGAAGTAGGTCTATACACCACGGCCTGATGAAGAAGTGGAATACCACTGCCAAAGCTGTGAAACTCTCCCTGGCATCAGAGGCAGGGGCAGGACTTGAGATACTCACAGAAGGCCATATGTAAATAGAAAGAGTGAAGTATAGATGAATTACCTATGGGTACATTTATGCAGCAGAAAGAAATGCAAGGTAGACATACCTCAGCTTGGAGGAAGCTAGCTTTGGAAACAAAAGCAGTCTCAATTTAGTAGCACTTTTCTGCACTTGGGGCTATTAGTTCTGTTGAGAATCATGATTCATTTTCACAGGCACAGCACTATACTAAGGCACTTTTTCTAGTCCCAGGACTAGTCCATGCAGACCTAGCTTGGACAGCTCAGCCGGTGCAGCCCTGAAATTTCCAGTTTCTGGTATATGATTTAGCATAGAGTTGTCCAACTTCTGTTTAGCTTCCAACTTCTGGAGGCTGGCAAAAAGCAGAAGCTGCAAGAGGGAGACAGAGCCCAGGGGGAAGCAGTGGCAGCAGCAGCATGAGCAGGCAATGGTCAGGGGCAGTTGCGCCTGGACCCATGAAGGAAAGCACATGAAGCTGAGAGTGTAAGGGCAGTAGAAACCCATGGGCTGCAAGAAGGATAATGCTGATTGAGCACATTCCCACCTAACTTGGGGCATCTCTGCACGGTATTGTGGTATACGAATGTATATTTCATATTATGTCCCTTAAACCTCCTAATAAGCTTTGCCTTATGTATACAAACCACTTATGATTTTATCTTTATATATACATAAAGAAAAATCTCTTCAGTCACCACAGTAATGCAACTACCTTGATAACAGTTAAACAGCACATGAAATCGCTATATATCAGTTTTTAACACAGGAAGCAAAAATAAAAATACTGAGTACTACCCCTGACCACTACTTCTATCTTGTAGAAAAAAAAAGCCTAGCACATTAGCAAGCATTGCTTTAACTGATTTAAAATGGAATTGTTGCTGAATTACATGTCACCACCAACTGAAGTGCCATTTATGCTCTTTTCATCCTCTTCATCTAAATTCCATCAACTTTTGCATGTTTTACATTTCAATAAATGTAATTTAATTTTGTTTTCAACTTCCCATGGCCATTTCCCAAACCCATGTTGTGCCAACAAATCAAAGAAACTAATTTTCTCTCACTCAGTATGTAGTTATAATCAAAGGCAAATTAATCATCTACAGTAGGTCTAGTTGGCTCCTAATGTATATTGTAAATTCATCCCATTGCCATTCCTACTCCCCTCCCCCATCAGAAATAGCAATCACAGATGGGGACTGATATTGGGTAAGAACCATTACCACAAGCTCATTAACAATGTATGATACTTTGAAGAATAATTATTTTGTGCTGCTGATGCATAAATCTCTGTATCCGTTTATTCCACATTTCATTAGCAAAACGGATGTTTTTATTACAATATGCAAAATAAAAAGATGAATTAGAGTCCTGCCATGGTGAAGGGCTTTAATCACAAAGCACCCCCACATTTCTCATATACAGCACTTAACAGGGATGGACTTAAAACCTCCATAGCACTATTTGGTCTGAAATTCCCAAAATTTGTGAGCTAACCCTTTTCTTTGCAAGTGTAATGTGGAAAGCAGACATTGACTGGCCCTTGTTATTTTCATGTTCTATTTATGCTTTGATATTGTAGCTGTTGATGGAGTAGCCAGGATGTCTGCTTCTTCCCTGTATCGCCTCTCCTTTCCTGGATAACATCAGTGGTGTTAGCAGCACTGTGTAACACCACTGTTTCTGGCAACACTAATAGCAATTTCCCTCTGGAGAGCAAGGGAAGTATAGGCAATGCTTTGATGCATAATGTAGAACGGTGGCTAAAATTACTTGATATCATTTTTCAAAAGCTTTTCACAACGAAGAAAACAGATATTTATACAAGTCAGAGACTATTCCTCACCACAGAAAACAGAAATCAAAGGGATCTGCTAGGCCTTGCAGTCCATCTCTGTCTTTGCTAATACATCTCTGTCTCATCTAGTTTCTTTCAACCTATGTCAAACTAGGTTCAAAATATCTTAAGAGACTTACAGCACTTTCCTTAACAGATTACTGCACAGTATATGGACCTGACTGAAATCACTGGGGAAAATTTTATAATTAAAGGTTACATTGGAGGCCAAAGTAGATGATGTGGAGGTCCCTTAAAATCCATAAAGCTTTCCTTTATATTTAGCTTAAGTTTCTTTCTTTTTCCTTTTATTTACTCACCTATTTATAACCTCTTGTTCCTAAATAAGGTGCTCTTATCCTGCACCTCAAATTACGTATTTAGAAACTAATCCCAGTAGACACACTGTGCACAAAATATTCTGTTTTATTTGGGGGGGGGGGGTTGGGGGGGGGGGGGGGGG